AGAAAGAGAGAGAGCAAACATTTGAAATCTAGTATTAGTAAGAAGGGTGTCAATTCTGGCAAAGGACTAATAAACCTTATCAGAGATACATCAAAAAGTTATATGTTCTTTATGGTTGAGTGATACTGAACATAAAAATATTTGTACTGAATATTTCCAAAAAATAACCAATGGCTACCTGTTCACTTTCCAATTAAAATATAGTCACAAGAAGGTATATTCCATGTGACATTTCTTTCATATTATTATTTTGGTATCAAGATTACGACATAAAGTATACTACTACTCACTACTGTCTTGTGGAAGCTACTACTACTAGTTAGTAGTTATGAGAGAAATAAATCCATTCTAGTAACAGAAATCAATACAGATGAATTTGCCAAAAATGGGGTGAGCCTACCATGCAACTAGTAGGGAGTCTAAAAAATACAAGAAGAAGACAACAAATGATTTTGGTCACCCATTGAATATACTACATTGATTGTTGAGTACTGTTGACAGGTAGTACATACACTTACACAAGAACTAGGAATGAAACTGTATGGATATAAAAACTGATGCAAGACTGACTGTAGCTCTAATGACCAAGAGTACCAATGTTCATTATGATATGAGGATGAAATAGTCCTCTGATAATCTGAGAAATGATATGAAAAAGTCAATATTGATTTTAAAYGCAGGAACTAGAAGAGGTGCTAGTGATAGGAAGACCAAATCATTACATTGWGAGAGAAGAATGTTTCTTGTACCTGCACTGAAGGGCAGGGACCCAAAATATTAAATGAAACCATAATCTGAGAAGTTATAACTTTTGCCAGCAACTGTTAGACTTCTTGTATTCAGATTGTTGATGGAATGTTTAGTTTGTTTGCATTCTTTGTGTTCTACTATCAATGATACACCCTTATGTTTTTGTGGTGCTCATTGTACTACTTTACAACAGTTCATCAGAACTTGTGACAAGTGATTTCCAGACTTCTTACATTACAACACCAATTGTCTAGGACAAAAAAAAATTCTTGCCAACTCTTCTATAAGAAACAAATTGATAACACCAAAACACAAAAAACTGGGGATACAATACTATTGGTAGGTGTATGTTGCAACAAGAAACTTGAAAATATATGTATTACTAGACTATTGATGACATATTGCTCATTGAATTTACTATGCTCAAACAGCTCTGGAACTGCCTGGGACTGTTTTGCTATGTCCAAAGTTGGATAGAAATACAATATTGTGGCACAAAATATATTAATGAGTTGAAAGAACAGTTTAAAAATAGGTCAAGAAAAGTCTCTCAAGAATTTAGCTGGAGTGGTAGCAATGTTTGTGAAGAAACGTCTCCGGTGAATAAACGTTGAGATGGTGACGGATATGTTGATGGTGATACAGCATGCCTAGGAGGGTGTACTAAAGAAGTTTGGTTCATCTGTTCCTTCTCTTGAGTTTTAACGACTGGAACTCCCACCGATGAGAGTGCAATAGCAGCTTCAACAAATATCTGTTCTTCACTGGATAATTTGTTTCTAGAAGCACGAATACTTCTGGCTTCCGTACCGACAACTGAAATGCATTTTGAGGGCCTAAAATACGGCGTTGCATCTTCGAGAATCTCTCTCGCTCTCTTCGGTCGTTTTCTTGMATGAGACATTTTTTTCTCCGATTGAGACTCATTTTTTTTCTGCGACGATTTACTTGTGTCAGCCATCGTGGTAGAAATACACGGGAGCAGCTTGCGGTCGATCACACCCAGTCGAGATGGCTTTGCCAAAGGTGTTCCCAAAGGTAGGTTTGGTACTTTGGTCACATGGCGAACATCATATTTCACTTGAGTTGGATGTATGACCCTGAAGATTTCTTGGTTATTGAAGTATACCCCTGACGTCATAGCTTTGGTCGAAGGTTCGTGCACAGCGTTGGCCTGGTGCAAAGGGGTATAGATGTCTGAGATTCTGGTCAATGTTGTTCGCTTTTCTTCTTTTCCTTTCACCACGGCATTCCTTGGAGCAAATAGAGAGGATTCAGGATATTTTAAATGATTCATCTTCCGGAAACAACGTTTAGAAGCGAAAGCAATGACCTCTGCTTCATGGCAAAAACATCGTTTGTTTGCATCACTACGCAAACGCGACGATAAAGTGTTTTTTCGGCTTACTTGACGCATGTTGATATTCAGTGATCGTTCAGCAGGATGATACTATGAGTTGCTTTTGAGGTCCTTTAAGTTTGTGCAATGACTGTCGAACAGAGCAACATCGTTCTGTCGGAATTCAACTAGGCCTTGTTTGTAAACACCTCGAATTCCTTCATACGTTATTCGTCTACTGTCGTCAGCAGATTAAGATGTTACGGTCCGCTCACAGAGAACAAACGATCATTATCTGAAGGGTACAGCGAAGTGCATCTCGCGAAGAAACAGAATGGAAAGAGAGGTGAAGAAAAAAAAAGGAAAAAGCGAAGCAAATGAAAAAAATGAGACGCGCGATAAGCAAAATTGGCCAATGAACGGTCATTTCARTCCACTTCTTATTTTTAGTTGAGATGATGTCACCTGTTACTCGCACAATTCTACGAAGTAGGAAAATGTTCCTACTGCAAATGAGAATAGTTTCGGGACTGCTTCTGTCACAGTCAATCATCCCTAAATTTGGTGAGAACTTCATTGTTACGAAGTAACACGCAGGGGTCATACCCTGGTAACACGTACGTTGTGTTTAATATTATGAGAAGTACCGGTAATTCAAATTAATAATGTTTTTAGTCATTACAGCATCAGTACTGAATCTTGAATATGATGTGTAACTAGTTCCTCTTTTCAAAGCAGTTCGAGGTCACAAGTATTGCTAGGGTTTACGGCAAGAGTTGTACGGACCTCTAAAGGAAATAAAAATTGCTCTCATTCGATCTATTCAAAATTAGAATGTGCTCTTTCAAGCGGTTTAAAGATTCTTATTTCATCTTTCCAATCCGTGGTCTACTCTCAAAAGATGAAATTTGACTCCGTCACGAATAGAGTTGTCATCGACCACCAACAGCCCTKTTGGCATATTATTTAGGCGACGCATTGTCTTTATTTGCACGAAGTAAAAGTACGTTCATTCCAAGTAAACATTTCCAATGAACAGCAAATCAACCCCCTTTTTTTGTGCGATGTTAAAACTTTGGATCTTCTGTCGTCATTCTCTCATCGTCGACAACGAAATTTCCAAATTTGTCGAGTTTCGGTGCCTCTTGTTCTTCTGAATCGTAATCACCATAATCGTCATAATCGGGTTCAGGTGCGGGATCAGATATGAAATTTCCAAATTTGTCTACCAGTAATTCTGCTTCTTCTTCTGTACCGTAACCATAATAGTCATCCTCATCATCGCTTGGTGGAAGTTCGCCAGGTAGTCCATGCTCTCTGACCCAAGCTGCTTGATTGCCATCTTCATCTTCGTAGTCACTCTGACGACTATGTTTTCGACTTTGGCTTTCCCCAAGAGCAGAGGATCTATTTTGAGCCAATTCTAACCATTCGTTCTGTTTCGCTACAACTTCTTCTGCGTCCTGACAAGAAGCGTATAAATCGAGTACTTCACGATTGATCTTGAAGAATTCTGGACCATACGAAAATTCTTCCATAACCTTCCTTGCGGCATCTTGCTTTCCGCAAATATAAAGAGTGGCGGCACAGGCCTCGGCGCAGGTCAGCTTAAATGCCCTACCATAATTGACGCTATTGGCTGCTACCATAAAAGGAAGGAGTCGTTGATGTCCGGATGCTAGCTGACGAAACGGTATCTCTTGTAGACGAGCCCATGAACAGTCGATCAGTGATATGCCACTTTTCTCAAGGATGTCCAAGTCTGCAGGACTAACGGGCACCTTTGCCTTGGGACTTAGTACTATTCCGCGAAACGATTGCTTCAATGGCATTCGTTCAAAAATACCTTTCCTACATAGCCTTGCCCCCGTGCATCTCTTTGGATCGCACTGTTCGAAATCCCACATGCGCAACCGTAGACCCTTTAGTGGATTCTTCATAGGAGGTGGGGGGCTTCCTCCTAATTCTTGACACAACCCGACATTTATGTCATTTTTAATTTCTTCGTTTCGACGTTTGACATCTTCTTCGCACATATCATACTCGAGTCCTTTGCGAACATGTTGTCGATGGCCTCCTCCCTTACTCCGTTGTGATTTTCCACCTTTGCCTCCTGACCGCTTGCTATTGTGATTGTTTCCGCCTGGTTTATTTGGTTTGTTCTTGCCCATGGTCGGGAACCCTAACGTCAATTGATAATTCTCTCGTTTATTCACTATTCCAAGTAGATTACATCAAGATGACGTGAAAGCCTTCTTGTTAATTCTGGTGATTTCATGGTGAGACGATCATCTCACAAGAAAAGGAAAATCGAAAATCTTGATTTTACAGGATTGTTTCGACTCGTTAGAAAATTAGTGGTTGTGCATCGTGGGCCTTGACGTAACCTTTGAGTACGAGTATCATCGAAATTACATGTAACCAAGGCATGCGAGCTTGATTACTAAACAGGAACCATGTCGATTTCAATTTTTTTTTTAAAAAAATTAGATTCCCATGACCCCCTCCTGGTACCGAAAATTGTGATCAGTTTTGATCACAAAAAAATGTGATCAGAAATAACAAATTTGTGATCAGTTTTTTGTGATCAATCTTGATCACAAATTYGAACTAATGTATGTACATTTTATACTAGTCCCGTTTTTTATATTCTATTTTAATATCCTAATATAAATAATACCAGTATTTCTACGCGTTTGTACTAGTAGTACTAGTAGTAAACCAGTCCTGTACCAAGAGCATAGTGATATGCCCTATTAAGAATTAACCCGACCTGCTACTAATATGACTATATATAAGTTTATACATGAATATATATATATATATATACGTAATTAAACTATTCATGGAATAATAAAGTAAATATTAATTCTAATCCGTTGGAAAAAAATGTGATCAAAACTGATCACAAAAAATTGTGATCAAGAATTTCATCAATTTTGTGATCATTTCTGATCACATTTTTTTGTGATCAAAACCGATCACAAAATGAAAAAAGGGGACCGGAGAATTTATTTTTTTCTAAAAACATCGAAATCGACATGGTTCCAGGTACGAGGGAGTAAGGCAAATGTGTGGACCGAATCTATTACAGATTATGAATACAAAAAGAAGCTCAGTTTTTACTAGTCAGAAAAAAAAAACCAACATAAGGTTTGTCACACCTCCAGACAGAGCTATTAGAGACACTTCCCTCCACACATGTATTGAAATAASTTCATTATTATGAAGAAGGGGATCCGGAAGTCTCAGAATGAAGACGAGSCCTCAGTATCCCCAATGTCTGTAGCATCCTACGTACAAATTACTAGTACTACTATGAAATATTTCAATAGCTAGTAAAACTACTTAGTGCTTTTTTGAAAGTGCAATAGGTTCAATTTGCAAAGGCAAATGAGGTGCATTGTTCTCTCCATAGAGCCGTGTACGATTTTTACTGCTGGCTCCAGACCTGTCACCACCTCACTTGCCTTCTTCGTTCCTCGTACGGTACATGATTTGTTGAGCAGATGGCGCATACAAACACTAGTTATTTTTTGCTTAAGTACATGCACCTCAACTGGTTTCAAAATGCACGGACTGAATTTTGTAACCAGAATTTTGAAACCAAACCCTTCCCCAAGGATAGCCCATATTTTTTACACGATACTACTAGTAGTAGTACTACTAGTATTGTACAAGTTGTTGGTGATATGAGTTGGTGATACAAGTTGGTGATACGAGTCGGTGATACAAGTTGGTGATATGAGTCAGTGATACAAGTTGGTGATACTACCAAGGATGCTGATACTGAGGATATTGATATGAAGGATGCTGATACAACAAGTTGCTGGTGATAGTACGAGTCTCTGATAGTACGGAGGATGCTGATACGGAGAATGCTGAGGATACGGATGATGATAAGAGTTGCTGATATGGAGGATGCTAATACAGAGGATGCTGATACAAGGAGCTGCTGATATGGAGGATGCTGGTATGGAGGCTCGCTTCTGATACAAGTACTAGTAGGATGATACTGATACGGAGGCTCACTGCTGATAGTAGTACTAGTACGGTGTCTGCTGATACCAGGAGTTGCTGTGGTAGCTGCTAACTACTTGTCCCCCTAAGATCTTAGATAACTGTCATTGCATCATAATATTTTTCTGTTATTGCCAAGAATTACCTTCATCATATGTCTGGACTTGGCATATTTTTTGCTTTACTACTAGCTGCAGGCATGGTTGATGGCCGTAGGAATAAACACAATGTACACGTAGTACGTTTAATTGTACGTGATTTCCTACTGTTGCAAAATCATGGAAGTCGAAACATTAAAAAAAAGACTAAAAAGTTTTGACTGTAATTGGTTTGCTACTAAGCGTAAGGGGCTACTATTGAAATTATGTTCAAGTAGTACTAGTAGTACTACTAGTGCCCGTACTACTGTGGAAAATTATGTTCATTATTCAAGAGTAAAATAGTACCACAAATATCAATTTAATATCCRACAAAATGGTATATTCAGAATCAGCATTAAAAACTGGACTAGACTGGCTACTCAAAAATTAAAATAGTAGTATTTTTGATAGAGCTGTAACTGCTTAAAGGTTGGATAGTTTTACTAGTATTATGGAGTAAAAATGAGAATGAAAAATATTCCTTTGGTGACTTTTTTGGAAATTTGGACCGAAGGTGGAATATGAGTTTTCGATTCGATGCGCACCCCTCTAAATTATGACCCCTGCCGTACCGTACGAGGAGTTAAGCACTCAAAAGACGTCATCGAACGTAGCTTAGTATTTCACGAAGATCAATCGGATGATGGCACAACATCGGTATGGTAGGATCGAGTGAGCACAACTCAAAATAGCATTATGACAAGAAATACACCTGKTCTCTTTTTCATCGTTACCTGTAGCTTTGCTTGCAATGCGTTACAAACTCTTCCTTTAAAAACCAACAGTGATCGGTTTGTATTAAGTTCTGGTCCACCAAACCAACAATTACCGACAATTCTCTGGGACACCCCTTTGGAAGTCGATTTCATCAATGACGATGCTGTTGAAGAAAAGGTGGAAGTAATGAGAGGAATAGAGGATTCGAATGGCAATGAGGAGGAAACAACGCTGACATTGCAAGGTAAAATATCCGTATCTTCAAGTAGACTTCCAAAGGACTCGGCTGAAGATGTTTCCAGATTCTTTCGAGCGCCAGAACATCGCAATTTGCTTGTCACTGGTGGAGGTGAAAGGCCGTGCACCGAAGTCGACTTCACATCGGAACTGTTAAGTGACTGGAGGAGTCGGTGCCTCGAACTTGGTTCCAATCAACCTGACGAGAACGATTCCGTCCTTTCTGTTATCACCCGAGGGATCGAGTTTCCCGGGCTCAAGGTCGCTACGAGTTCGTTAATCGGCGTCAAGTACGTGGAAAGCGAAACCGAGAGTCCTCGATATGAATTTGTCCTCCTCAGCAACGAGCAGACAGTGTCAGGTCTCGCGCCCGCTGTTTGGATATTCAACAAACTAACAGGGGCGGGTGAGAACGGCAGCGGGAACAATTCTAAATTCAAATCCCTCACGATAGTCACTTACGAAGAAGACAACGGGAAAATTGTCTTCATGACCGATGGATTTCTCAGTATTGATATTACTTTTCCAAGCTTTCTCCTGAAAATCTTGCCTGGTGACAAGAAAAAAATCGAAGAAAGGGGTAGTAAATCGATTGTGAAAACGTTGGACAGGGATGTAGTTCAATCTATGAAAGCCTTCGAAAAAGCATATTCAGRACAATACAATTGACGCAGCTCAAAGAAAATCAATTTTTCGATCGTTCGGGAATCATATGTAACAGATTGTCTCCATACAGCTTCTTTTTGCCTTCGAAGTACAACGTTTTCTGTACCAGTATGAAATGATGAGTGACGGTGAGATGGAAAAGACAAACAGGATGCAATGATTCATTTTCAGATTTTTTAAAAATAGCTTCAGGCTTTGTCAAGTTTTCAGGGTTTGAATAATAATTTTTCTTTACGAAATACCGGCCGATGCGTTATTTACTTTTTAGTATTTGATCCCGACGAGATGTTGGGTCAATGGCCGTCCTGACAATTTTTTGACAGTACTTCATGAGTCTTTGATGAGATTCACTATCTCACTAAGTTAGATGTAGTTCCCTTATGATTTAGGAAATGAGCAACTACTTTTTTATTGTCTTTGATGGTTTACTCTAGTCAAGATCAGCGTCGACTGTTTATGGTCATGGGAAAAATCCCTCATGGTTTTGGAGAATTGGATATCTCAACGCCATAGTTTATATACGGTATTTTGATAGCGTTGATTTCTTTATTGCTGTTGACCAGTTTCGAGAGACACTACCCCAGCACAAGACTATTGTCTTCGTTGTCGACCTTGTTGGTGTGGTACTTGGCGGAAAGCCTTTCGTATTCTTTGATCAATTTGCGTTGGAGCTCGAGACATTCTGTCTTTATATCGCTTTCCGGAAGTTCTTTGATGGCTTGCATTATGCTACAGGTACTCAGATACTTGTTTTGCTTGCGGTAAGTATTGACACCCCATAGCTCGTGCATTGTGTTGATATCGTGCGGAATGCTAGAAGGCATTAAAGAAAGAAGACAAAATCACGCACACCAATGGACATACATAAAATAGGTTAGAGTAAGCAATATTCAGACTTTTACAAAAAAGGTTGCACTACAGAAACGAAACCTACCCTTGCGCGGAAGTTGCCTCGTAGCCGAAGAAATACCAACACTTGTTCCAGCCACCCCACACTATACTGCTGATACACATCATGCATGGTTCGTGAGTGGCAAGGAAGATGGTGCTTTGGGCGATCGGGCCTCTATCCTTGGCTGGTGTCTTTTCGGACCAAGAGACAATACACTTGACCTCTGCGTGAAAAGTAGGGCATTGAGATTCTGCATTGGTGTCAGAGTGGATACAATTGAAATCTGAATCCAAGATAGCAGCTCCGAACATTTTGCTCCCGGTTTCGACTCCTTTCTCGGTCAATGGAATGATGTCATTCTCTATAATCTTCATCATCTTCAGAAGAGCTTCAGGCGTTGCTTCCAGAGGAGGCCTCGGGTTTTTGGAGAACTCGACACCTTCGAGTCTGGACAAGGCGTCAAAACTCATATTAACATTGTCGTCTTGTTTTGCATTTGTTTCATTGTCGTTGGGAATTGACGGGTGGGGGCGACAGACACTGAATACTACTAATGCCGTATCATGCTTAGTACAGAAACGCCACAAGTGAGTTTATGCTGAAAAGTAAGGGGCGATGGAGCTGGTTGACAAGAAGTTCTCGCGTTGGCTGTCGATGTTAATAATTATCAGCAGGTTAGTTCTGCTTCGTTCGAGCTCTCAAGATGTTTCCAACGAATTCCTGGAACACTGGAACAATGTCATGAAGAATGAGCTTATGCGGTGATCGGCAGAATTTTTTGCTGTACAATACTTACGTAGGAGTTCGTAGTACCATTCAAGTACAGGAGAATACGGTACTCGTACTCATGACGAACGTACCGGTATGATAGCATCTACGAAAATAATTCTCAAAGTAGAGGGGACATGTTTAAGTACTAGTCCTACGTATTGACGGAAGATATGTATGGTACCGTACTACTACTATTGTTCTCAATGTCAAGGATTTTGAAATAC